TGCCCCAATTCATTTGCAATTTTAAATATCTTGACATAGTGTCTGATGAATTCAGTCCAAGCCACTGGGACATAAGGTTCAAAAGTTATAAGGCGAACAAGAAAAGAAACAACTCTTCCATACCTATAATGCAATAAGCACTGTATTTTGTAGTAATAACAGATAAAGAAGACAAAGTGATAGCACAAAATTAGAAATGTTAACAGTACTTTCCATAAAATATGGTGAGCACCAGGTGGACTGCATGCTCAGGGTGCAGAAGCACAGAGGAGCAAATCTTGGCTCTTTGCTTTTGAGATAAGTCAGATAGCTGTGATAAAATGGTTTGTCAAAGTATTGCAAACATATTTCAAATTTTTATGATAACTATAAAGTTGTAATAGTTTTAGTCTATAAAATAACTTCTAACTGCTGATAAATATCTACCCCATTAAATTGTTATAAAAACGACTAATGAAAATCAAAGAAATGAGAGTTCCAATTAGGAACAGATGCAATCAAAACATTTCTTATTTAAGCTTTTTCTTGCATTTGCACATCTAACAGGTATTGCTATGGTAACTCAGTTGTACTGAGACATTCAGAGATTATACTGAAACACCATGATGCTGAAAATCAACATTTTTACTTTTATTAATTATACATAAAGATGACAATTGTTTGAGGTTTATTACTTTAATTTAAAAGAGATAATTATATATAATAGTTTGTTATGTAGTTATTCCACTATTTTGGCCGCAATAAAATCAATTTTGAAAAAAGTAAAAAAATAAAAGATAATTAGATGTTGTTTATAGGTAAACGTCTTCAAGACCAACAAATTTAAGGGGGGAAAAGAAAAAAAATGAAAAGGTTTTCCAAACCTCACCATCCTAAACAGTTCTCATCCCAGTGTGCCTTGTGGCGGAAGGGGAGGGTGTGAGGGCAAAGAGGGGTTGAGGGAAGTAAATACAAAAATGTAAAAAATGACGTGACTTCTGTAAACTAGAAAGCAGAGAAAAGGAAATCATTGTAGCCTTAAAAAAAAAGAAAAGAAAATCCTTCCTACTGAAGCATAAATTCTTCAAGAGTACTTGTATCCAAAATAACAACACTGAACTGTGATACTGCAAGTACTTGTTAAAAACACATTTTGAGAGCCATTTACGATGGTGATTCATTCACCTTCCCGTAAATTTTCTGGTTAGACTAGACTAACAAATAGGTAAGAGATAAAGCACTGCTGATGATGTGAGAAGGTAAAAGGAAGACACAAACACCAATGTGAATGTGCATAATTAAATGACAGCAAAGAAAGTGCAGCAGCTTAGTAAACAAAATAAATTTTCCAAAGAAGATAAAAATATTTCAAACTCAGGGTAACATTTAGCAGTCTCTCTGACTTACAGATTGAAGCTGAGCATATTACAAACCTACCAAACAAAACTTGTCTGATGTTTAGAGCAGGGGTCAGTACAAAAATTCATTAGTCACCTTAAAATTCATATTGAGTGTTTATAAACTTTCTCAGTGATACAAAATGATTCCAAGTGTTCAGTTTTCCTAAGAACACAGGGATGTTTTATAACTTATATATTTTAAGTGCTAAACAGTTCAGCAATCATGCCTTCTAATCAGGTATGTCTGGGGATTTAAGCACAGAATGAGAAAGAGATCGAACAGTGAGTGAAGCTCTGGGTGGTAGTATTTGTGCATCTTTGCTGTGGGAAATGGAGAATTTAATGGAACTACTATCCTTGCCTTTGACCAAAATTCCACTGGCAGCGTACATACTTTTTTTACTTGATACGACCCTTCGAGAAGTGGTTTTCCCCAAATAAATGTTTCATTATCACAAAAGATTAAAGGAGATGTTTCTGATATTTGACTAGGGAAACCAGAATTGGATCCAGAAGGTTTAAGCTATCTAATATAACCACCTCAGTGTTTCGGTGGCTTGATATAATACAACATATTTTTTCCTTCCTCACAGAATGGTCCAACACAGTTGTCCTGAATCGGGCTGTTTTCTTCCAAAAGACAAGGGCCCTGGCTCCCTTAATTTTGTGTCTCTCCCTTCCTCTTGAACCTGTGTCCTCTCCATTTAGCCAGCAGTCAGAGAAAAAGAATAGAAGGTGGTGTGTGGGAGGGGTTCCTAAGCCAGGCTTGGAAGCAGGATACGTCATTTCTGTCCCCATTGACTTGGCTACAGTCCACTCACATGGCATCATCTTAAGCCAAAGAACGGTAGAAATGTAGCTTAGCCGTGTGAGTCTGGTGAACAACCAGTAAGTTAGGCAATTTATCTCATCACAGATAAGGATTTTTATTTCCTAAGGTTTATTTTTCCACGGCAACAAGTGGATATTATATACTTATCTTACTCAATTCTGTCTGCTTTCCAGGGCTGCGTGTATGTGTACGTGTGGTATGTATGTGTACATGTATGAGTAATTAATTACTGGGTTGTCGGAAAAGTCATGATGCATTTTTGCAACGAAAAGCATAGAAAAAATATGTCATGACTTTTCTGACAACCCTATATTAAGATATGACTACAAATAAATGAATCAGAATAAACAGACAATAGCAAATCACAAAAGATAATCTCTGAACCTTTAAAAATAAATGAACATCTGTACAGATGGATAAAATAAACAACTTGATAAGGCACAAAAACAAATCAAGACTATAACATTAGGCCATCCTAAAACGGGCTGCAGATATTAAAAAGGATAAAAAAAGAGTATGACAACTTTATACCAATATATTTAAAAGGTTAGAAATTAAAAATTCCTAGAAAAATATAATACCTAGAAAATATGAAATTAAAACTGGAAAAATATAAGCAAAATGTTTCACCATAAAAAAAAAAACGCTATGTTTAAAAAGGAAAACATTCTTCTTACAGAGAACAGCAAAGTAAAGTTTTCCCATTTGTTCAACCTTAATGTTTATCTAGGAGGCTTCTTCTGGTCAAAATAAAGTAACAGTGTTGTGACTGTGCTGACTCACTGGCGAGTCTCCACACCTCTCTACTCTTCAGTGGTTTGCGTCCCTCCTTTGGATGGAAAAGAGGAAGGAAAAATCCTTGGCAGGCAGCGGGAAACTTGTGGACTCACAACTTCTATGTCTTTGTGTACGATCACAATTTCGCGAAGGTAGGTTCCTTCCTTGCACAGGTGTACTTTGTGCAAGTCTCAATGAATGAAGAAAAGGACAGTCTTTAGGGGAACCTAAGAGGGAGCTCAGAACAGCTGCAAATTGAAATCTGGCTTCTACCTGAAAATAAATCCTAATTCCTGAGTTTGTCAGTGAAGATACTTCTGCCCAACTCAAGGCTCCAGCCACATGGGCAATTCAGGGGGTTTGAACAAAACTGATATTCAAAGCCTCTACGCCCCTATGGTTTCCCTGTGACCTGACTCATTCCGTACTCCGAGAGAAATCTGATTCCCAGCCGTTTGCAGACCTCTAGGTTTGATGCCTGTCCATTTGTTCAATCTCTTCCCCTGTCCCCTGCTTAGAGGATCTCAGGATATCATCCTTCACCTCCAGCCTGGAGAGCTCCATGGGAGTCTCCCCTTCTCTGCTGACTGGCTGTCAGCCACCATGTATGCAAGGACAGGGAAGCTCCACAGCATCTCAACCCATACCCCCGTGTCCCTTAGTAGACACTCCAGTCTCAGGGTGGATAAATTCGTGCTCCCTCCTTTGTGCCACAATAATTTCAGAGCACAGGAGACCAGAAAAAGAAACCAGGCTGTAGGAGTGGGGAAGCCTCCCCAGTAGGAAGAGAGGGGAGGATGGAATGAGTATCTGGGGTGCAAAAGAGCTGCAGCTGAGACCAGCTGGGGCGGGGTGGGATGGGTAGACTGAAGAAGCCTCTCTGGGTATTTGTGTGCCCCCTGCGGGATCCTCAGTCCTCACTGACCCCCTCGTTCAGTGTGATGCAGCCTCTCAGAGAACTCTGATACATGGCCAATTTCATACCTAAATAATGGGGCCAACACTTTTAAAAGAACAATTTGAGGGAAAAACTAGGGTCACACAGAAAAGCAGGGCAAACCTCAGAGTGCACAGGGATCTCAATCACCAGCTGAGAGAAGCCATCCCAGTCTGAGATAGAAGAGACCAATGTTTGTTGAAAATCTCTCTCCCCGCCAAAACAAAGGGCCCCAGGGTCTCTTTCTCAGAGATGTTAAATCTTTCTCACATATATGGAGAATGGTTTTCCACTCTCTGAGAGTTGTCATGGATCGCTCTTGCTTTTTCTCTTAGATAGCAGTTCCCACACTCCCAATCAGGGGTGCACTCTCTCTCACACACACACACAGCAGTGTCCCCCCTGTCCACGCACCCAGCGACAGATGCACAGAGATGGAGACTGAAAATACAGATACAGAAACGCTAAGTCACACAGACACAAGTCGTTCCAGATAAATAAGCGTCTCTATATTCTCTGCTAAATTCTCAGTACTGCTCTAATCACGTTACTGTTTTGACTACTGTTTTACCACACTCTGAAATCACCTTATCTACCCGTTGACTTGTTCATGCTCTTTATGTTCCACAAGGCCAAGGACTGTCAGACAAGCCCACTGCTGTAGCTCCAGTTCACAGCAAGGGGCCTAGCTTGTGGCAGGTACTCCATAAACATTCGGATCAGGGATAAAATTATCTTCCATATCTAACCACCCGCCTAAAGCCTTCTCCTCTCTGAATTAAGCTCAGCGTGTTGGCATCATTTTGATTTGGGCAAGCAACCTGAGACCCCAGGCCAGGGTCCTCCACATCTCAATTCACACCAGTCCCAGTACCTGTCATGTTACTGGCCTTTGAATGTGCCTCTTCCCACCAAAATATGAAGATAAACAGACAAATAGGCAACTCAGAGAGCTCCAGGGCTTTTAATCAACAGAATCCAGAGGCTGCCCCCACCTGGGTCGTGGCCAGAAATCAGGCTGCACTCAGTTCACAGTTCACCTGCAATGAGGGTGGGGCCGGGGCTGGGGCTGGGGAAGAGGAAGAGAGGGGTTACTCGGCATGGGGATGATGTGCCTCGCTTTCACAATAAGATCAACTCCTTGCTCCTCCCACTTCCCATGACCCTGTGAGCAGTGGAGCTCATAGACAGGGACAGGTAGACCAGAGGCCTTCCCTCCTTCCATACCTGTAGTCCAGAAACACAAGGCCCTGAATTGGAATGTGACCTGATTTAGGATCCTTCCCTATGTTGCTGTCCCCCAGGAAGCCACAGCATGCTTGCGTGACCAGCAGGCTGGGGGCAGCCGGCCTTGGGGAGACATGGTTTGGGCAGTGGGTAAGGCCCATCTCCCAGAATCTCTCTCCATCTCCCTGCCCATCTGTCCCATCCCTCATTCACCTTGGAGGCCCCTATACAGTCCCCAGTGTTCAGCTCCTGGGGCCGGGTCAGCTGCTGGGGCTTATCCTCAGGAAGATCCTGCTCTTGTGGCAGCTCTGCCTCTGCCTCTGGGGATAGCAGCTCCCCCTGCAGGGTGTATAGTAGCTGAAGGAAGGTCTGGTGCCTGGAACAAGAGGTGGGTGTGATGAAAGGGAAACTCAGCTGGACCATCCCAGGCCTGCAACCTATGCTCCGAGCCTCACCTCTGCAGCTTGTCCTGCTCCTGCCCTGTTTGCTGCTTCAGGGATGCAAGTTCTTGATATAGCTGCTCAAACTCCTGTTTAGTTCCTATCTGACACTCCCTCACCTCTGCAGAAACTTCTGCCAAATGCTGCAGATGCTTCTCCTACCAGGAATGAGAATGTAAACATAGCTCATCAGATGCTGAGGGCTTAGCGCTCATCCGCTAACCCCTTCAGCCTAGAACCAGCTCAGGGTTCGGACCCACAGGTGAAAAGATGGACCCTGCTCACTTAAGGCAGGACTAGGGGCCTCGGGAAAAGGAAGAATCAGAAAGATGATGATAACAATTAGTTTGCTGTGTTCCAGATACTATTCAAGCACTTGCAGTAGTAATTGCTTAATCATCTTAACATCTCTTTAAGATAGGTGCTAATATTGCCTCCATTTCACAGGTGAAGAAACAAAAGCACGGAAAGTTAGGTGACCGCCCAGGGTCAAACAGTTTTAAGTGGTGACGTTAGGATTCAAACCCATGTCGGTATCTACAATATAGTATAACGCCTTACAGAAAGAAAGGAGGTTACGATTTTCCAGGCAGAGGACTTAGCCCACATAATAGCATGGTGGAGGGAAGGGATATTGTCCTAGAGGAACAGACCCACCTGTTGCAGCTGCCACTGTTTCTGGGCTGTTCTGCGTTTCTCCATTGCCGCTTGCTTCTGCAAGTAAGCAAAGGAGGGGGACAAGGAAAGGAGGGGTGCATTTTTATGGATGGATTTTGGGATGTGGCCACTGGGTTTAACCCAGCATGCCTATGGCTTTCCCTCCCCTCACCCTGGGTGCACCTTGGCCTGGAGCTGTTCAAGGGCATCCTGGAGCTGCGCCCGCTTCCTTTGGGCCTCCTGCATCTTGGGCAAGGCCTGGTTCAGGGCACTTGTGATGGCCTCCACGTGTTCTTGGTAGGTAGCTTTCAGCTCCTTCCATTGCTCCTTGGTTGCAATTGCCTTCTGTCCTGAGATGAGTTACAGAATGAGGACCTGAGAGAAGGATGACCTGCCTGCCTGAAACACTGGGACCTCAGTCTTCTCATCCACCATACAGCTGAGCTGACTGACATTCACCTTTCTTCCCCACTCAGGGCAGCCCCTATTCCAAGGCCTTTCTTACTTACGGCTCGTGTCTTCAGAGGCCAAGGGGTTCAGGCCATGGGCAGTGTCCTCCTGAGCCAAGAAGTTCTGCAGGAAGTCTACTACCTGAAGCTGGCTGCACAGCAGCTTGTCTTTCTTTCGGGAGTCCTGTTCAGAAGGAGGGCAGAGGCAGGGAACAGCCTTACCTCCTTGTGCTACCGGCCGACAAAGCTGCCTTCCAGTCTGCTCTCCATCAGTGCCGCCCAGTATCTCAACAGGCAGACCCAGGAGCAGTCCTGGGCTTTGGGAAGGCTGGCTCCCACCTTGAACATACCATCACAAACTCAGCCAGGATCTGGGCTGGCAGTTCTGCCTCCTCCTGCGGGCCTATAGACTCCAGGATGTCTGCCAGCTTGGCCAGGGACCTGAAGTTCAAGGAAACAGGGGAAGCTGCAGACTCCTGGGGTGCCAGTCTGGAGAACTTGTGTGCACATGCACGTATGTAGATGTACCAATGCTGAGCGTCTTGCCTTGACCAGTACCTACTACACACAGGCCTAAAGGGCCATCCGGGACCAGGTATGGTGTGTATGGAGGGCATATAGAAGTCATAAGGGTCATGAGGAAAAAATACGCAGGGCGAGGGGCGGACGGAGTGTGCGGGAGGGGCCGCAATATTAAATAGGGAGCATCTCGTTGAAGAGAAACCATCTGAGCCAAGACCTGAAGGCAGTCAGGGAAATATACCGGGAAAGGTAAAAAATGAGGACAAAACTGATGGGCAGCGGGGAGCCCTCCAGGCAGAGAGCACTAACCTTGGGGTAGGATCTCAGAGTACCTGGGGAGGGGATCAGGACAGGGTGCTGGATGTCTAGGTCTAGGCTCTCCAAGTTCTTCCTTGTTAGGAGCTGGAGCCGTCACTAGAAGGCAGGGATTGAGATAAAATAACCCAATGGGAGTGTGTCGGGATCAGGGAGACAGAAATTAAATGGCCCTTCCAGGATGTCTACTGGGGGTGAAAAGTCTCCTGCTAGGATGGTGCAAACCGCGAAGAGATGGGGGTGTTGACAGGGTAGGAACCGTCTCCTTTCAGGACACACCCCTGGGAGGTCCCTCAAAGGTCGTTCTCCGGGAGAGTGGCAAGTCACCTCAGGAGCCTAAGACTGGGGGCTGGGGTCAGGATCAGCTCACCGCGCGAACTCCAACAGCTTTAAGGGGTTTAGGGGACCGTCGATGGTATTCAGGGGCTCGCAAGGTCCGTCCCGGCCCGCCCCCAGCTGCCACTTGGCGGGAGACACTTACTCTAAGGCTGCAGCCTCTGCCTCGGTCTCCGCCGCCTCCATCCTTTCTCGCGCCGCTCTTCACTCTAACCTCCCCTAATACTTCTGTTTTCTTTGGATCCGCAGCCGACTGCGCGCCAGCCAGGCGATTGGTTGTCCGGTCAATGGGCGGAAATCAAGGACCGTCGTGTGCTCCCATTGGCAGATGCTATTTGGCGCAGGCGCAGTCGTAGCTGGACGGGGCGGGAGCGCGGGAGTTCTGCGCTTGCGCGATAGCCAGTAGGCGGTGCTGGAGCCTGGAGGTGGAGCCTGAGCTCAGTAGGCGGGGCGCAGCCGGGTTCTTCTCCTTCTACGCGGAAGACTGAAAAGAATTGTTTTGAGTTTAAGAGTTTGGAGAAACTCTCAGCATTAACTTCATTAAAAAAAAAAAAAATTCTGTTGCGGTAGAAAGAGAACCCTGGGTCTTTCGTCCAAGACACTTGGCATTAGTAACATGGAACCGAGATTCCGGAGACACAGGGAACAAATGATATAAGCTCAAAAAGCTTAGTGCCTTTAAAGATTTTCCAGGATGCGGTGCAGGGAGAGAGAACCCAAGCAGCGCTCAGCGAATTACCAATGTTGACAAGATTCAGCTGAAATTCTGGAGAGACCAAGGCAGGCAATGTTCGCAGCAGCGTATAGGAGAAAGGAGAGAGCTGCTCAGAGAGGGGACTCGGGGCTCTGCAGTTTTCTCAACTGTTCAGCTGAGGACTGAGCATCCTGTATCTGAGAAAACTACCCCGAAAGGATTTTAAAGACTCATAGAGCTCATTTAAGGCCAGAAATGGTGACGATCCACCGTCAGGCCGGAAAACTTAGTCCGTGAAGCATTGGGTAGAATACACAGGTCGTACTTTAGTAGTAGGGAATAATTAGGCTGGTCACCGCTCTAGTTCCACCTAACAAATCTTAAAAGCAAGACCCAAGTGGATCAAACCTGTTAGCAAACTACTTAAAACTATGACAGACCAAAGTTAAATAATATTTGTAGTAAGGCAAAATTGTCCAGCTACCAATAAGGTACAGTTTACAATGCCTGGCATCCAATTAAAAATTACCAAGCTTGAAAAAAATGAAGAAGAATCTATAATAAAAAGATCTATCATCATTGATCAGAACAGAAATTGATGTCAAAACCAGTTGAATAGACAAGAACATTAAAACTTTTTATAATTATTTCATATGTTCAAAAAGATATGCAAAGCTATAATATAGATAATAAAAAGTAAGGATGTGGAGAAAGTAGAATGCTGATGTTGCTGGTGGGCATGTAAAATGGTGCATCTGCTTTAGAAAACAGTTTAAAACTCCCTCAAAATTCTAAACCCTAACCCTAACCACAATTCCACTCAGATGTATATCCAGAGAAATGAAAACGTGCACACAAAAACTCGTACACATACGTCCATAGAAGCATTATTTACAAGGGCTGACAAGCAGAAAAAAACCCAAATGCCCATCAGCTGGTGAATGGAAAAAACAAAATCTATATTATTCAATAGAGTATTTTTCAGCAAGAAGAGAGAATGGGATACTAATGCATGCTAAAACATGGGTGAACCTTTAAAATGTTGTGCTAAGAAAAAGAAACCAGTCACAAAAGAGCACATATTGTATGATCCCATTTCTATGAAATGTCTGGATTAAGCAAATCTAAAGAAACAAAGTAGGTTAGTGGTTGTCCAGGGCAGGGGGTTGTCAGGGTTGGGGAGAGACAGCTATGGTATAGGAAGGCACTATAAATAGAAGTAGGGCTTCTTTTGGGGGTTAAATGAAAATGGTCTAAAATTAGATTATGGGAAAGGTTGCACAATTCTATACAAAAAGCCATTTAGTTTATACTTTAAATGGGTCTCAATAAAGCTCTTAAAAAGTTAATCAGAATTATGAAACAATAAAAATCTACATCAAACTGATAGAGGTGAAAATTACAATGTGATAGGTGAAATTAGATGGGATTAATAGCAGATTAAACATTGCATAATAAATTAAAAATGACATTAAAGACATAGCCTTAGAAACTAACACAAATCACATAGAATGAAAACAGAATAAAAAGAACAAAGCAACAGTGAGTTCTGGGAAAATTTCAAACAGCCTAATATACCTGTAAATGGAGTTCCTGAAGGAGAGGCAAACAGAAAGGACAAAAACAAATTAATAATGACCAAAGATTATGAAAACTATAAATTCACATATTTAAGAAGTTCAACAATACCCAAGCACAAGAAACATGAAGAAAATTATAACAAAGCACATCATAATTACATAGCTGAAAGTTACTGATAAGAATAAATTCTAAAAGCATCTGGGGGTGGGGGGAGGGCATAAATAGGGAAGGATACATGTTACATACTGAGAAACAAAAATAAGGTAAGAATTATAGTAAATTTCTTGTTGGAAACAATGCAAGAAACAGGGCAGTGGAGCAACATCTTTAAAGTACTATTAGAATTTTTTAAAAGTCACCCTTGAATTTTATATACCTTCCCAAAATGAAGGTTAATGAAAGACACTTTTATACATACATAAGCTGAAGCAATTTATCACTAGTCATCTACACTATGAGAAATATGAAAGAAGTCTATTAAGCAGAAGGAAAATGGCATTAGTTTGAAATATGAATGTATACAAAGGAATGAAAAGCACCAGAAGTGATAACTACATGAGTAAATACATATGTGTTTCTTAATATTTAAATACATTTTTGAAAAGTAATAAATGAACTGTACCAACAGATATAGCAATACTATGATGTGGGATTCATAACATACACAAAAGCAAAATGTAGTACAAAGTGGGGGACAGAAGAAATGAAAGTAAATCTTTATAGTTTATGTAAAGTTGTATATCAGGTGAAAGTAGACTATGATAAGTAAAAGCTGTATATTATACTGTCTTAAGCAATGGTGTCAATATACCCCATGATGTTCACCAATGAGTCATTCCCTTGTATAATCTTTTACTTTTGAGTGACGGTGGAACCTGTGACTTGTTTCTAAGTGAGAGTATAGAGTAATGATGATGAGATATATTTCAGTTGATTAGGCTATTTATTAGGCAAAGGCAATGACATGGCATTCCCATGATACCATTTTATTATGTAATACTCCATAGCAAACTAGAGAGAGATTCCTGCTGTTGGTCTCAAAGAAGCAAGCGGCCATGTTGTGAACTGCCAATGGTGAAGATCATGTGTCAAGGAACTGTGTGTGGACTTTGGAATCTAAGAATAGACTCTAGCTGACAGCTAGTAAGAAGATGGGTCCCTCAGTCAAACAGCTACAAGAGGATCAATTCTGCTAACAATCTGAATAAGCTTGGAAGCCGATTCTTCTCTAATTGTCTCCAGAAAAGAATACTGCCCAGTTAATGTCTTGATTATAACTTAGACCCTGAGAAGAATGCAAAACCCTATTCCATGAAAACTCTTGAAATCCTGACCCATGGAAACTGTGAAATAACAAATGTGTATTTTTTTCTTTTTCTTTCCTTTTTTTTGTAAAGATTTTTATTAAAATATAGTTATCATACAATATTATATTAGTTTCAGGTATACACAATATTTATTCAACATTTATATACCTAAAGAAGTGATCAGCACAAGTCCAGAAAATACCTGACACTGTACCATGCTATCACTTCTTTATTGACAATATTCCCCATGCTGTATATTACATCATCATGATTTATTTGTTTTATACTTAGAAATTTGAACCTCTTATTCCCTTTCACCATTTCCCCCCTTTTTTAATTTCTCAATTACAGTTGACATTCAATATTATTTTATATTAATTTCAGGTGTATAGCATAGTGGTTAGATATTTATATAATTTAAGAAGTGATCCCCCTAACTAGTCTAGTACCCACCTGGTTCTATACATAGTTTTTACCATATTGTTACATATATTCCCTGTGTTTTACTTTACTTCACATCCCCATGACTACTGTGTAACTACCAATTTGTACTTCTTGGTGCCTTCACTTTTTTCACCCTGTCCCCTAACCCCCCTAACTATTTATCACTCCCAGTAATTCTATTACCCATCTCACACCATACATAGTTATTACAATATTATTGATTATATTCCTTGTGCTATACCCTACAATCCAAAACTACTTTGTAGCAATCAATTTGTACTTCTTAATTGCTTCTCCCTTTTCACACATTCCCAACACTCCCTCCTGTCTGGCAATCATCAAAATGTTCTCTGTATCTATGAGTTTTTTTTCTGTGTTGTTTGTTTGTTTATTTTGTTCTTTAGATTCCACACATAACTGAAATCACATTGCATCTGTCTTTCACTGTCTGACACTCCACTCAGCACAATACCCTCCAGGTCCTACCATGCTGCTGCAGATGGCAAGAAACCATTCCCTTCCCTGGCCCAGCAATATTCCATTGTATATATGTACCACCTGCTCTTTCTCCATTCATCCATCAACAGGCACCCAGGCTGCCTACACATCTTGGCCATTGTAAACAATGCTGCAATGAACATATTGATGTACATCTCCCCTTGAAGTAGCATTTTGGGTTTCTTCAGATAATTACCCAGAAGTGGGTCCTTCTTTGTCACTTGTAATAGCCTTTGTTTTAAAGTCTATTTTGTCTGGTATAAGTATTGGTACCACAGTTTTTTTGTTGTTTCCATTTTCATGAAATATTTTTTTCCATCCCTTTACTTTTATTCTGTGTGTGTCTTTTGATCTGAAGTGTGTGTCTTGTAGGCAGCATATGTAAGGGTCTTGTTTTCCTATCCATTCAACCACCCTATCTTTTGATTGGAGCATTTAATGCATTTACATTTAAAGTAATCGTTGATAGATATTTAGTTATTGCCATTTTATTATTAATAATTTTTATTTTATTTATTTTTTTGCCTTGAATAAGTCCCCCTAACATTCCTTGTAATACTGGTTTGGTGGTGAGAAATTCCTTTTGCTTTTTCTTGCCTGGGAAGAGCTTTATCTGTCCTTCAATTCTAAATGATAGCTTTGCTGGGTATAGTAATCTTGGTTGTAGATCCTTTTCATTGCTTTGGATATTTTGTGCCAAACCCTTCTGGCCTGCGAAGTTTCTGTTGAG